TGCCCCCCCCCGAGGCCGGGAGGGGGGGGGGGGCGCCGGCCGCGGGCTCCAGACCGCGGTGGCACGGAGCAAAAGGCGCCGGTGTCACGCCGAGAGCTGGGAAGCCAGGCTGGGCCGTGCCGAAACATGGGGCTGGGTTTTGTGCCGCTACACAAATATCTGGGGGGGGGGCCGCTTGTGCCCTGCGTGGCCTCGGCAGTGGACCGGGGCGCTTCTCTCGTCCCCTGGGCGTTTTTCTTTCCCGCAGCCTTGGGTCAAAGCTTGGGTTTTAAGTGAAAATGGATTTTCTTGTGGTCTGCGGTGCTGGGATGAGGAGGTCTTTGGTAAAACAGCCAACCAAAGAGAAAACACAGCACAAACCATTACAAGTTTTGCAGCTAGAAGTGGTGAAAATGCCTGCTACATGAAGGTTAATTTCAGGAGCGTGACTTGCCAGAAATGTGGCCAAAAGAAGTGTATAGATACTAGTTTGTTTATCAAATACGGTAAGATAAAGACTAGCAGCATTTAAACTGCTATTTTTTTAATAGTGACTTCCCAGCAAAGACTGGTGTTGAAGTGTACTGCTATGCAGTAGCCTGTGACTGAGTCTCTAAAAGTACTAAATGTTTACTCTGAAAACTGGAAGGAAAGGTGTAAGCAAAGTTACAAAGTTATATATCCACAGAGCCAGGGGTGGGCATAGCGTGAGCTAATTGTGCTAGGAAGTAATTTAAGCTATCCATGGAAGACTGAGCGAGCGCAGTTTATTGCTGAGGGTAAAGCAAAAAGTGAATGAAACAGCACTAAGTTTGAGGAATTATTTTTTTCCGGTATGAAATAGTTAATGCAGTGAGAGCTGAAAGGGTATCTGGAGATTTGTTTCTTGCTGTTTCCAGAGCGAAGTCAACAGGATGGTAATGAACCTCAATCATAGCAGTCAAACAAGCTGTCCTTCTGTCAGGTCAAACGTCCAGCTGGCCCAGCATTGTATCTCTGACAGTGCCCGGGACAGAAAAACTTTGAAACAAAGAAAGGGAGTCTGTGCTGCTGATTCCATAGATCTGGTAAGTGAAGCTATTTTGAAGCCAAGGACAGGAATAGTCTTGGGTTATTAAGACTAACAAAGTATGATACTTGTAATTTAACTAGCATATCTAAATGTAACTGGCCTAGTTTTCCCCAGAAATTATGTTGACAGCTGTATGAGTAGATACACAGGAAAGACGCATGACTGGTGTGAGCTAAGTACCTGAACAGATCTGGAATGACGCAAATGCGCAGCTTCCTCTTCCCCTTCCCCTTCCCCTCTGCCAGCTTGCTCTGCCTCCCTGCAGCGGGAAGGAGGGGCTGACACACTCTGCATTGTGGCAGATCTTGATGCCCCAGGGAGCAGAGGCCCGCACTCTGCTGTGTGGGTGCCCTGCCAGGCTGCATGCTGGAGCAGATAGATACCTGTCTGGGAAGAGAGATTTGAACACTTTCATGCAGCCTGCGCAAGAACTAGTAGAAATACACGGCGCCGATGCTTAATGCAGATATGTGCCACAGTGTAAAAGAAGGCTCTGCCTCCTTGCTTGCAATATGCCAGTGTTACATTGCTTGTCAGACTGCCAGAGTTAAGGCAAAGAGGTTAATGAGAGGCAAACCTTGGAGAAGAACAGAGCTGCTTAAAGAAAGCCTATAAAACAGTACAGAATTACACTTTCCTAGTATATTAGCCTAGCAATCTGTAGTGTAAGGGCTTTGTGGGCCAGGGGTTTGGTGTGCACTTGTTAGCAAAATTTTATAGACTTTCTTTCCATGGATTAATCTAATTGCTTTTTTTAAACTTATTTATTCTTTTGGTTACACATATCATCCCTGGAGCCACGAATCTAATTGTTCAATATGAAAAAGTGCAATTTTTTTTTTTTTTTTCAAATATCTACCTGATCATTTCATTTGATACCTCCTAGTTCTTGTGCTGTACGAATTCATGTGTCACCTTCTCCATGTGTCTCTCATACTGCCACTTAGATGTCTCTTTCCCAAGGTGAAGCATTCTCATCTATTTAGCTTGTCCACCAAAAGAAGTCATTCTGAGCCATGGCTGTCTAGTCATCACTTTCTGTATCATCCAAATGTCTACTTGATCATTTCATTTGATACCTCCTAGTTCTTGTGCTGTACGAATTCATGTGTCACCTTCTCCATGTGTCTCTCATACTGCCACTTAGATGTCTCTTTCCCAAGGTGAAGCATTCTCATCTATTTAGCTTGTCCACCAAAAGAAGTCATTCTGAGCCATGGCTGTCTAGTCATCACTTTCTGTATCATTTCTGATTCTATAATTGTTTTTAAGATCAAGGACCACCATAGCATTCAGTATTCAAGAAGCACCTGAATACTTCCTGTTATATTTACCTTTTGAATAGCATTGCGTGTTGACATGGTTTTTCATAGAACTTCCTGTAGTGAGTGCTAAGTTTTTTCTTTGAATGGTAATAACTTATCTAGATTACATCACTCTGTATATATAGTTATGTTGCTTTTCCAAATTCAGTAATTCACAACTAGCAATATTAAATGTCGCCTGCCTCTTTATTGTGCTGTCGTTCAGTGTGCCACAGTCCTCCTACAGTTCTTCTAGAAGGAGAGCATCTAAGATGAGAGACTGGCAAAGGGCCAACTTTTATAAGGCGTGCAAGGAAAGATGCACAAGCAGCATCAGGACACCAGGAATACATCTCCCATTCAATTCCATTGAGACTTAACCAGCAGAGAACATAACATTCTTCTGTCTTTTTCAGACAAGCGTCTCTGGACCAAGAAAATACAAAGCACTGCCAATAATAGCTAATGTGTTTTAATTTTTTTTTTTAAAAGGGTTAAGCAATGAGGTTGAAATACTGAAGGAAAACGTATTTAAAATCAGACTATGAAAGCAATGGAGGATCCATACTCTTCACACACAGAAATCTTCAATGAATGAAAACCAAGGAATAGCAGAAATCTTGGATGGAATTCCACAATGTTCAATCATATGAGGTGTGCAAATAAAAAGGCCTACACAAGTAGGGTAAAAGGCACAGTTCATGCCAATCCATAGGTAGCCTGATAATAAAGCATGCAGAAGAATCATTTGGGCTTTTGCTTTGCTTTTTGCTTTGCTTATTTAAGAAAAAAAAAATTGTTCAGGAATGTACTTAATGGATGGACCCAACATTTGGAATTTTCCTTCTCTGCATGGAAGGTACAGGGGAGACCAGTCTCACAAAATGACTCATTAGACAACTTAAAGGTTAATCCCAAGATGAGCATTTTTACAAAACAGTTCAAATACTATTTCAAATGGCGCTTCCTTCACTGAAAATGCCCTGGCAAAACATCTGACCCGAACAGTCAGTTCTGAGAACCTGTTATTGTGAAGAGCTACTTTTTAATTATGTATGATCTATGTATGTACCAGTTTTGCCAAGCTTTGTTCCCTGCTTGGTGTCCAAAGCTTGTGCTTACCTGAGCTTACTCAGCAATGTACAAAAATGCCTTGGGGTCATTCAGTGGATTTACTAAAGAGGAGAGTCTGAGGAATACTAGTGCAGGGCCACCCTGCGGATACTTGATGTCACTGGAAACTAAGTGCACAGTTGCGATGATGAAAACAAGCGCATAGCAAAGACTGGCCACCAGACCACTGCAGTATGCTTTCTAGAGAAACAGTTGTGCTAGTTATGGCTAAGCTTTATAGGGAGAGTTTTGGACAGGTTTTGTAGGAGGATGGGGTTTGCCATATACACAAGTAACATTCAGGGTCTGTGAAAGATCATAGCAATCTAGTCACTCCATCTGCAGAGAAATGAATGGGAGATCTGAGAGGGGCTGCAAAGCTTTGTAGAATGGCAGAAGAAGTAGTATAAATATAAAATACAAGTGGAATTGTCAGTTCTCACCAAAATGTTTTGGAGACAACCTGCATACTGTTGCAGGAGGGAGACTTTTGTGAATATACTGATCACATTTTTGAATTGTATATGGGTATAACTATTTAGTAACTGATAGACTGGTGCAGTTTTGTAATAACAAACCTGAAACAGCAGTATAAATGGTAACTTGCATTAAGGTTTTAGCCAACTCGTGGTGGCCAGTTGAGTCTATACATCAAGATAAACTTCAATATGAACATCCTCATAGACAAGCTGATGGAGTATGGGCTAGATCAGTGGACAGTGAGGTGGAGTGAATAGTGGCTGAACTGCTGGGCTCAGAGGGTGGTGATCAGAAGAACTAAGTCCAGCTGGAGACCAGTCACTAGTGCTGTCCAGCTGCAGTTGACGCTGGTTCCAGTACTGTTTAACTCTTCATTAATGACCTGGATAATGAAGCAACGTGCACCCTCAACAAGTTTGCAGATGATACAAAACTGGTAGGAGTGGCTGACACACCAGATGTCTGTGGTACCATTCAGAGGAACCTGGACTTGCTGGAGAATTCGGCAGACAGGAAGCTCATGAAGGTCAACAAGAAGTGGAAGTCCTGCACCTGGGAAGGAACAACCCCATGCACTACTACATGCTGAGGGCTCATTACCTGGAAAGCAGCTTTGCAGAGAATGATGATATGGTCCTGGTGGACAAAAAGCTGAACATAAGCCAGCAATGCACCCTTGCAGCAAAGAATGCCAATAGCTGCCAGGGCTAAATTGGAAGGACTGTTGCCAGCAGGTCAAGGGAGGTGATCCTTCCCCTCTACTCAGCACTGGTGAGGCCACATCTAGAGTGCTGGGTCCAGTTCTGGGCTCCCCAGTACTAGAGATACATGGACATAGTGGAGTGAAACTTGTGGAGAGCCGCTAAGGTAATTTAAATTAAGGGACTGGTACACCTGTCATGCAAGGAAAGGCTGAGAGAGCTGGGACTGTTCAGCCTGGAAAAGAGAAGGCTCAGGAGGATCTTATCATCTGTCTGATGGGAGTGTTTAATGGCAATGGAGCCAGACTCGTCTCAGTGGTGCCTGGTGACAGGACAAGAGGCAATGGGCACACACTGAAATACAGGAAGTTCCATCTGAACACAGTAAAACAGTTTTTTTCTGTGAGGGTGGTTGAACACTGGAACAGGTTTCCTGGAGAGTTTGTGGAGTCTCTTTCTGTGGAGATACTCAAACCTGACTGGACACGGTCCTGGGCAATCTTCTCTAGCCAACCTTGCTTTGAGCAGTGGGGTTGGGCTAGTCAGTCTCCAGTCAGTCTTCCGACTTCAGCTATTCAGTGATTGTGTGAATTAGAGCCTTTCTAAGCTAACTCAGTCTGTTTATCATGAGGAGAAGGGAGAGATCCAGAAGTGAAGAAAAGAATGCAGTGTGGTGATTTGGGATTACCAACAAAGCTGCAAGTCAAAGGTCTGGTCTGATCTAAGTAACAATTTTATGAAAGTAACAAAATGTCTTTTTTCCTCCTTGCACCATGTCCTTTGAGTATCTACATCATTAGGCCCTTTATGCTGAGGTGCAAAACGCTTCACTAGTCAAGCTGCTTAAAAGGTTCATTGATCTGGAAAACTATACCAGGCATCACATCATCACATCACCGTCCAGGGTGAGCTGGCTGGACTAAAGATAAAGTGCTTGCTGCGTCAAGGTTGGCTGCAGGGGAGAGGTTTTAACTGGGAGGATCAGAGCTGGCCAACTGGTGGAGAAGGACCTTCTTGCAAAGGAGAGTTTGACTAGAGCTAGCGAGGCATATGGTGGTGAAAAGGCTGTGTGTCCCTTGGCCAACAGGAGCCAACGGGAGTACCCTCCTGCCAACACTTTCTGTGTGGGTCTGAGGAGTCCCCCAGGGAAGATGGCAGCTGAGAAGAAGGTGCGGCTAGAGAAACTTTCCCGGCAGGCTGCTGACAGCCTGTCAATCTTTGGGGGTACAGCCCAGCCCTGGCCTGCCTTCCTGTTTCTGGTTTTGTGGGGTGTGTGTTGGAGGCAGCATTCGTGTGTTCCACAGAGACATGCTCAGGAGCAGAACTCTGCTCCATCCTGGTTCATTTTCCAGACCAAAACCAAAATGCTGAGGCTGATTCTTTTATGTCTGGGCTTTGTCATTTCTGCTTGCAGTCTTCATTTCCCAAATTGGGAGGGGTGAGGGGGAACCCTATTGTTGCACATTTGAAATGCCTTGCCTTAGATGTCTTGCAACATTTTGTGCTATCAGCATTTCCGTTAACCACATCTAACTTTTCATCAGTCAAGCTCCTTCTTTAAAAAAAAAAAACACAACATAACTTTAAATACCCTGAAAGGTGAAAAATCAGATTACAGTCCCTTTGACATGACCAGTTATGATTTGCTGAGTACAATGTTCTGTATTTGGTGATCTAAGCTGTCTCAAGCTGGGACAGAAGCTGATCTGGATTGGTAAGAATCCCAGAAATGGGATTAGCTAGGTGAATGTGCTGATCTGATAAACCATGGAAGTGGCTACAAGACAACAGATCAGATACCTGATGGTGGCATGGCAGGGTTTGGAATTATGAATCACATCAAGCAAAGGTCAGCATTATGCCAACAGGCAAGACATCTGATTCAGTTGCCTTATAGAAACTATAGTAAAGTATGTGTCTGTGCCTATCATTCCCTTGCTTCCTATTATTCTTTGACTCAGGGCACTATTTTATTTTTACAGTGTTGAGACAGCTTCTTTTGGCTTGACTGTTTGTTTATTTTATCAGCAGATCGTATCTAAAAATTCAAATGTTGAGTCATCCTAAGCCAGGGTAAAAGAACATACTTAGCATACACGTGCACATACAGGAAAAAAGCAGTTCCTAAAATGTCATGCGAGTTTCTTTTTTCAGTCATTCCAGAGACAGGACTGATGGTACTTGCTCCCTGACACCGGAGTATCTGCTTCACTAGGGTAGGTATAACGAGCTGCAGAATTCTGCTTTCCTCTTCAACTTGCAATTTCTTATTCTTCACTCCTGAAAACCTCTCTGTCCCCTCTAGTTCCCCCTTCCATCTTCATAACCACATAGCAGCCCTTCTAGCACTCTTGAAAACATAGCGTGGGCAGTATCTTCTTATTGATTCATCCCTCAGTTTGCTTTGGAGTAGGATTTGTATTACTGTCTTTACAGCATTCCTTGATTCTCTGTCCTCTTCATACGATCTTCTGTAGCTATATGGGGAGGCAACAAGATTCAGCTCTTGCAGCACTGTTCTCCAGTTGTCCCTGTAAAAGTCACTTCTGCATTTATCAGCAAGACCACAGGAAAGGAACAAACTTGTTAGAATTTTAAGTTAAGTCCCCAGCTGCCTTCCAGTAAATTCTTTCATAGCTTTCCTTGCAGGTCACCCTCAGCTAAAAGCCTTAGCTAAAAGCTAAGAAGCAATTCTTACCAAAAAGTGATGAATTACAATGTTTGTCACAACTGTTTATCTTAGTTTCTTCGTGGTGAAGCGGTTCTAACACTTATGCATCGCTCCACATTTAGACTATATGTTATGCAAGAAAGACATTGATGATTTGGAATATTTTTTTTAAATCATTGCTATTTAGTCCTGCACACAACAGTCCCTGACTGGCATTTAAGTACTGGCATAACAGAGGTTAAAATAGAATCAGGCTGGGTTGTCTTATTCATGTCTCCTCGGTTGCTTCTGTAGGCTGTATTCAGCTCTTACCTATGCAGTTTCCTTGTGTTCTGGTAATGCTTTTAGGGACCTTTCAGCAACACAACTGTCTTAATTGATTCAGCAAGGGTTTAGTTAACAGGGATTTTATAAACAATTCTATTAATGCCTAAAGGATGAAGATCAGGCTCTTTTTCTCAGTTCTATCTTGACTTTGCTAGATTTCCTTTGCTTTCCTTTCTAAATGTACTAATATCCAAGTCCAAGAATAATTGAGCAATTAAAGTGTTTCCACTGCTGTTCTCATAGTTTTAAAACGTCACTTAAGTATTCTGTGGCTCAGCTTCATAGTCTTGCAATAAGACACCTTTTCTTATATCTAAAACGTCTCAAGAACATTACTGCTATTACTCTGTTTTAATTTTTCTTTCTACAACTAAATCTCTGTCTGTTCTTCTTAAACCATTAATTTCTCGCCTTTCTCCTCATCGAGACTAGCTTTCTAAGGAACCAGCAGAGAGCTCAAAACAAAAGCAGGGAGAAGGAAGTGCTTATTGAGACTTCCCTAAAAATACCCCTTAGCAGACAGAGTTGCTGTCCTGTCTGTTCTATTTATAATGTCCAGAAAGTGGAGTAGGGTTATTTCACTAAGACAAGCATTGCTTTCTCAACCTGAACCTATTTCACTGGTTATGCCAGAAGAAATCACTCATTTTAAAGGGAAAAGGAACTAAAATGCTGGCTTAGCTTTCTGAAGAAGAGAAGTGTATACAAAGCTGGAAGTCGATCAGGAAAGACACCTGGTGATAGTGTGGGCGTGTGAATGGAGAGCTCCACTTCAGAGTGGAGGCTAAAAAGAACCAGACTGAAATCAAAGGGGATGACAGATAGGAGAACTTAAGTGTATACAATCCCCTGTTTGAATAGTGGGGCTTATGTAGCGTAGCCACCATAAGAATGCTGAAGGTGTATAATGGTCAGATTAGTAAGCCTTCAGCACAAACTTGTATAGACCAATGCCTTTGTACCCTGACAGCTCTGTACTGTCACCTGACTTAGAGATGCTTCAGTACAGATAAAGAGAAGAATTTGGGCAGGAGGGTGAGAATTGCCTACTAATTTGCTTTCTGTTTTATAGCTACAGAATGCGTCGCCTCCTGGGTAATAGCAGTTCACACGAACAGGCTGCTGTATATTATGGATCAGAATCCATTGTCTCCATTGCTATCTTCATCATCGTTTTCATCATAGGTATCCCAGGCAATGGATTGGTGATCTGGGTAGCTGGTCTGAAAATGAAAAGGTCTGTGAACATTGTCTGGTTCCTAAACCTTGCTGTGGCTGACTTCATGTGCTGCTTGTCCTTGCCGTTTTCCATTGTTCACCTGGCCCTCCATGAACACTGGCCGTATGGTTTGTTCCTCTGCAAAGTCATTCCATCAGTCATAATCTTCACCATGTTTGCTAGTGTCTTCCTACTCGTGGCCATCAGCATTGACCGGTGCCTCCTCGTGATGAAACCTGTATGGTGTCAAAATCATCGAACAGTGAAATCTGTATCACTAATATGCAGTGGCATTTGGATCCTGGCCTTCATTTTCTGCTGTCCTGTCTTTCACTACCGTAAGACTATCATTCATGATGGCAAAACTGAGTGCGGGTACAATTCTGGAGATGATGAAGTGCCAGATTATATGGATGATTCTGTAAATAGGTCACTGGAAAAATACTCAGCTTTAGCCTACAATGATAATGACTCAGGGGGAAATCCATATGAAAGTGATCATTCTGTATCCCTCGCCTTAGTGGTAATAAGCATCACTAGGGCTGTATGATGAAGCGCCAGATTATATGGATCCTGTAAATGGGTCACTGGAAAAACACTCATCTTTAGCCTACAATGGTAATGACTCATGGGAAAATCCATATGAAAGTGATCATTCTGTATCCCTCGCCTTAGTGGTAATAAGCATCACTAGGGCTGTCTTTGGCTTTGTGCTCCCCTTTGGCATAATGGCAGTTTGCTATGCCATTATTGCTTTCAGAATGCGTGCAAATCAGTTTCACAACAGGATGCTGCAAACAATTGCGCTCGTGGTAGCCGCATTCTTCATCTGCTGGGCTCCATACCATGTAGTTGGCATTCTGCACCTTGTACCTACTCTTGGAACAGAGCTGAGGGAGTCATTGATCCTCTGGGATCACCTCTCTACAGCACTTGCATATGCCAACAGCTGCATCAACCCCCTGCTCTATGTTTTTGTGGGACGGGACTTCAGGGCAAAGGCACAGCAATCAGTGCAAAGAATCTTGGAAGGCATCTTTACCGAGGAACCAACGCGCTCAATCCCTTACTCCCTTGACAGAAGCAAGACTTCCACAGAGAAGGATGTTAGCAGCAGTGTAATGCAGGACTTCTGATCACTGCTGTAGAAAGAGCGAGCTATGGCCCAGCACATCTATCACTCTCCACTTAAAAGCTTTTTTTGCTGCAACACATTTGATTAATCTGCAGATCCACACACAGGGCACTGAGATGGTTCAGATCAGAACAGCTAAGCCCCTTTACATCCTACTCCAGAGAGATGGAAAGTTGGAGGTACCAAGGGTAATAAATCTGAGGGAAGATTCTGGTGAAGCAGGAGACACAGAGTACTTTAACCTTTAAAGAAGAAAGCAGGCTTGCAGAATGATTTGTGGTGGGATCATGTAGTTTAACCTCCGAATTGCTAGATGAGAATGTCATTAGAGTTACTTGCATATGTCTATGTTCTACATCTCCTGTCTCTGATAAATTGCAGATGAAACTAACTTTGATGTCTCTCCTTGGAATCTGCCATCCCGTCTTTCCTCTCCTTTGGCTATACTTGGGGTCTGAGGGTTTTTTTCTGAAGATTTCCCTAGAGGGTAGTGCTATGTTTTCTTACAGCAGTGCATTAGAACAGCACTTGCCCCAGTCAGCTGCTTTGAACTGACTTTCATGCCCTGGCAGATGCCCAAGGTATTTCTTTGTCCCAGCAAATACATCACTGTACAGTAGTAACTGGTCCAATGCACACGCTGTAGCTATGTTCGTTAGCATGCACTCACCCACAGTCTCCCCAACACTCCCTCCACCACCAGAGTCCCAAATCTTCCTTTTAGGAAGTAGTCCAAGATTATCCAAATGTACCCACTGCATTTTAAGATGGCACATGAGCAGAACTTGAGCAACTGCAGTCATTGACAAACCAGATTAGGTGGCTGCTGGACTATCGGCCATTTGGTAAAACCTTGGAATTGAGAAGTGATAACCTCTAGTCTGACCCCAAGAAGGTGGGGAACAAGCCTGTTGCGGCACAGTCATGTCCTGCTCTCTACAAGAGATGTGCTTCTCATGCCTTTCTGGTGGAGGAAGATAAAAGTTTCATCCAGTCAAGCTATTTGGGGGCGCTTCCCAAGCTTGAATGTTCCCTGCTCCTGAAAAGCTGAAGTATGTTTATGAGGTACTTTAAGGAAGTGGTTTAAAATCTGCTTTTTGTGTTAGTCCTTCCTTAAAGGAGCAAGGTCAACAAATGGTATGACAAACAGCCACTAAGCATTGGTATATTTTTCACTTTGCCTTTCTGGCGAGCACGAGTTGAAAGACTCGCTGATCTCAGTGCCCTTAGAATAGCCAGCTGTGAAAGCTTTCAACGCTTTCTCTTGACATCCTAAAAAGTCCCAGTCATAAAGTTCATGTATAGGTGCAGGCTGTTAATTTAGCGATGTCCACACCCAAATTCTGTTTCTAAGGTAAGTAGGTGGGAACCGAGCCCACCTGAGGGGCGCCGCTGAAAAAAAAATTCAATACTGGCACCAAAAGAGTTAAACCATAAACATTCACTTTTTCTTTTTATTAAGAAAGCATGCACAAAAATAAACTCGTGAGACCACGCCCCTCTCTCCCTGACCACTGACACAAAGCACGGGGGGCCACACCGCGCTGGAGGGGCCTGCAAGAACCCCTCTCTGGGACAGGCCGGCATCCCTCCCCTCCCTGCAGGCCGGTACTCGCACACCCTGCAGAGCTCCACACCACCCACCCGATGCCTTCCCACGCACTAACAACGCACATTTATTTCAGGGGCAGAGGAACGAGGCTAATTTGCACACTGACCGGCATGTATTTACATATGCAAATGAGGCACAACTTAATACGCAAATGAGGCAAATATGCAAATGAGGAGCACTTGGATACGCAGAAGGAGCCATCTTGGTTTGTTTTTCTTCTGGTGTTTTCAGACTTCCCCAGGGCCAGGTCTCAGTAACATCCTCTGCAAAGCACTAACTGGCACCTACCAGAGGTTGTCTCTCATGGCTGTCTCCGGTGCCACTTTCCACAGAAACCCATCACGCATGCTTCCAAGCTGTATCATTCCCATCCTGAGGCAGCAGAGATAACAGCTGACCCCGTACTGAAGTTGGCTCTGGGATTCCTCATTTCTCTTGGAAACACTCAAATGACGAACTCCCCCCCAAACACACACTTAAAGAAAAAAAAAAGAAAAAAAAAGAAAAAAAGTTCCCCCCCCCAATACAATGAGACTCTGTCCACTTCCCTGACAAAGATCCAATTGGTTTATCCCTACAACAAATTTAAAAAGCAATGCCAGTTCCCCACCTTCCTGCAGTCAGAGTAGAGGTTATTGCTCCCCTGCCCTAGGTCTGTCAAGCGGCCATGATGTGTTATCTTGGTTCCCTTCACTGGTAAACAGGGAATATAAGGGCTGGGGGGAGGCTTTACAAAATATAAGAGGAAACGAGGTTTGACAGAACAGAACCATACCAGAAAAAAGGGGAACGCAGGACACAGCTTTGGGGAGGAAGCATCTCAACACTCACTCCTGCTCCTGCACCATTTCCACCTTCCTATTTGCAAGTGCTGACAAAACTCATCCTTCGGGATTTACACCAGATTCCACCATCTCCCCAGCTGAACTGCAAGGGGCCTGACCCACCCTCCTCCCTTTTATACGATACTCTTTGGCTGTTCGGTTTAAAAACCTGCCCCACTTCGTCCTCTCTCTTCTAATGCATCTCTTACAAAAACCACTTGTGAGGGCCTCCCAGTTACTTGACCAGAGGGTCCAGCCCCTTGACCAGAAGTCCCCTAATTCAGCTCCACTCTGAGCAGCAGCTTCCTCTTCCCACCATTAGCCCATTCACAAAGTGGGAACTGCTGACTGAGAATTTGCACCTACGCAACAAGACTCCTGTTGCTGGCACTCTCCAACCACAGGCAAGGACAGTCTCCAATGAAATACGAGGGGCAGAGGGCCAAATAACAACTGAACAAATACTGATAGAGAAAACTTCCAAATTTGCATATGCAAGTAAGAGCCTCACTACATATTTTGAAGAAGGGCTTGAAGGGGTGGGGGGTGAAATTAAAAGCTCTGGGGAACAGAATTTGCTGAATCACATGTGACACCCCTGACTGCTTCTTTTACCTGATAGGTATGTAGGCTTCACCTGGAGGCTGCAAAAGGCAGTGTAGAAAATAGGTCAGGATTCCCTCAAAATCTCTCTCAGTCCTCACAGATGGCACTGCATTCTGAAACCCAACTTCTCTGCTGAAATACCATCTCTGCTACATTCTCCTTTCTCCAAACTCAGGTCTACCCTCCCAGCTCAGCTCCGCTCTCCCTACCTCAGGGATTACCCTCTCTTTGTACTTGGGAACTCTACTTCTTTTCTTGCTTTTCCTGCTGGTGCGAGAAAGTTCACAGAGCTAAGATCACCCCTCCAGTGTCCCTTTAGCCCCCTGACCTTTACAACATTTACGAAACAACATAACTACAGGCTCCCAGGGTCCACTAGGCTCTCTCACTCCAGTAGCCAATACGACAGATTCACCGGCCACCTTGAAGGGAAAGAGGGATTGTTAAACGCAAAATGACGGAGGCAGAGAAAGATGCACTCGAGGATTCAGCCTTCCGAGGTCTTTTCGTGGCACCAAGGACCCATCTTTCCGCCCTCCACACAGATTCACCACCTTGAAGGGAAAGAGGGATTGTTAAACGCAAAATGACGGAGGCAGAGAAAGATGCACTCGAGGATTCAGCCTTCCGAGGTCTTTTCGTGGCACCAAGGACCCATCTTTCCGCCCTCCACAGGGCACCACACAACACGAAAGAGCCGATCTGATGCGTCCGAGGCCACCAGAGGAGGGGGAGGGCTGTGCTCAATTATTGGTAATAATAATAACAATAATAATAAACAAAAGAAGAAAAAGAAGATAAAACAGGACGCAAGGAAGGATTATCTTCGGCAGCATCTTGCGGTGGCTTCTCTGGCGGAGATAGAGAATATATATCTATATACAGGCAAGGCAGGGAGGCTGGGGAGGGTGGTGCTGGCACCATTCACCCCATGTCCCCCTCCCCTCCCACGTCCTTCACAAAGGACGGGCTATCAAGTCTGTAACTCGCTAGGTGATCAAGTCCCAGTCGAAATCATCGGGGATTTCCTCATTGGCGCCTGGAGGAGGCCCTGGAGGCCGAGGGACCAGATGGTGAGCTGAGCCAAAAACAAGAAAAAAGAAGAGAAAGGAAAGAGAACAGTTAGAATAAACAATGTCACGCTTTTTCACAGTGGGCCCTCGGGCAAAAGAAAGCATAAGGGATTCGGGCCTTCTCCCTTCCAACAGTCTAACAAGCAAGAACACTACTGGCATGAATTTCTCCCTGTCAGACAGCAGCTACCAATGTCTGTAGGTGGTCTGCTGTGAAATTCTCCACAGCAGCTTCTACAGAGGTTAAGTTTCAGTCTCCTTAACTTCCCTTACAGCTGACTGCTGATAGAGCACAAAGGACTTCATCAACAGAAGCTTCTCATGTAAAGTTGCCTTCAAGCAACCAACTGAGGGTGAGGCTGAGCTAGAAGACTATTTATGTGAAGTGAAAGAAATCGGGCTGCTGAAATCCTAAAGTTTGCCAGAGCTATGGCAGAGCCCTAAACAGAGGGTCCCTTGCAGACCAGGCTCCCTCTCTACCCTCAGTGCTCCATTTGATTAGTAAGGGCTTTGGGAGAAATGCGTAAAGGGCTTGGGAACGAGTTCTTCAGTGTTCATTGGTATAATATGCCTCAATGTCACCACTTACCTGGGCGATTATATCCCGGAGAGTCCTGGGTGGAAATCTGGTACATAGGAGATGGCCCGGAGAAGAGATGGGGAGGCTGGGGCTGACCATAGGAGTTCACTGTGAAAGGAAAGGAGTAAAAAAAACCAAAACCTGTTAATGTTCTGGTCAGCTATCTTGGCCCTGACTGGGTGGCAGCTCAGCCACAGAGCAACTCACTCAGACCCACGGGATACTGAGGAGATGTTCAGCTGTTGGGTCCTAACTGCAAGCTATAGCTTGGTCAGGGATCTTGTTCTTGGAACCAGCAGGAGTTTCTCTATTATTGTAAAAGAAGAAAATTTTCATCCAGGAACGCCACAAACTGGCTCAATATCATCCATTTAGTTCAGTACTAGATGACACACACCATCACAGCTGTATCAACACCATGATATCCTCTGTGCTCTCCTCAGAGTGCATCCTCCTACTCTTTGTCCAGTCAGTATTTCTCCAACATGGATGCAAGACCTTTCTTCTTCACAGCTCCTACAGCTCCTGCCATCTGGAATAGCAATCTTTCTACCTTGCCATTCCTTTCTGTTGGTCACCTACAAAAAACACCACCCCCTTCTCCTTTTATGGGTCTACCTTTTAAATGTATTTCTGCCGGGAAAGGCTGCCTGTCAATGGTATGCATCACATAATAACAGTCTGTCTAGGCCACAGACATAGGACATGCCAATTCTTTAAAGCCAGAGGAAGCTGAGTTGCTACGAACAGCTCTGACAGCCCAGCCCCGAGTTGCTTGGTGCTACATTGCCTGGCAAGGCAGCAAGTAGTTTAGGATATTCACAGAATTGGGCCTTCATTTACATGTCATTTTAGTCTCCTTCCTAATTACCTTGGTTCATGGATTGCTCCTGCTTGCCACTGTTCAGGGCACAAGAATCAGAGATTCGGGGGGGCTGCTGCGGGCCAATCAGATGAGGGAGCTGACCAGTCTGGGTAAGGAAGTGATTAAGGGAGTCGCAGAGGTTGGCAATATGGTGTTGATCCAGCGTCCAGTTCTTCCGCTCAGCCTGGCGCAGACTCTCCATCAGCTCTGCAGGGGACAAAGGACAATGTCAAAGACAGCACTCACATCGTGGTCTTCCCTGCAAAGAGTTTCTGTCTTCTACCCCTAAATCCTACCTTCTCCCCACAAACCCAACTTCATTGCTTCGAGTCTGTCACCAAACTCCTGGAGAGCTCCGTATCTAGGATATTGTCTCACTGACTCAGGTAGGGGAGGGAAGAGTAGGAGGGAAAAATCTCAGTTAGCTTTCTGACATACTTTTATGAATTAAGTCCCCCTGCCCCAAACTCTTGCAGTGTTCAAGTGCTTCAGGGTCTTTAACAGAACCCATGAAGTAGGACACCTCGTTTTACAAATAGAAGAGTTGAGTCACTGAGAAACCCATGGACTTGACACAATTACATCGAAAAAAAGATCTGGGCACAGCACTCACATATTCTGGACTACAGCCCTAGTCACTGAGTCACTAGACCTAGCCACTAGGCCAACACTGACCTGAGAATTGGGAGTGCTCAATGCTAGACCAGTTCAGCCGGTTTACCATCTTGAAGCTTTCCTTCAGGGAATCGATGTTGGAGCACCAATCAGGGGGAAATGCTGGAATGAAATGGGGACAAGATTATTCCAATACAGACTGCCCTTTCCCTCCACCACTTCATATAAAATGATCGGCTCCTCTTCACCAAAGAGCCTGATGCTACAGTAGCTAGAAATCCTTTCTCCCTTGGAAGACCAGGGATGGTGCCTCCTTTTTAATTTAGCTCCTGACTTTATCCCTGCATCCCTAAACAGAACCCTAAACCCAGTGTGGATGTATCCTCCTTTCCTTCAGTAAGGAAGCAATTTCCCTCTCAGATTTCAATCATAACTGGCTTTCACCCTTTTTCCACACACAACGTAGGCACTACTTAGGGAAAGCTCGCTTGTGGAATTTCTGTCTGGGGGCTCCTCTCTGCTCCCTTTTCCCCAGCTGTTCTTTCCATCACCCCTGACTCACCAAAGCCAGCATTGTTGATTGAAGCCTGTGACTGCTGCTGCTGCTGCTGGTGCTGATGTGGCTGCTGCTGTGGGTGGGAGTGCGGGTGATGTTGTTGATGCTGGTGGTAGCCTCCATGCTGCATTGGGGGGGGGTGCATGGACATCACTGGTGGAGGGCCATAACCTTCGCCACCCTGCTGCTTTCCCCCTTGGGATGGGCAACCCTCTGGGGTTGGAGTGTGGAGTGGGGGAGCAGCACCCACTGATGAGGGGCCTTGCTGCTGCTGCTGCTGGTACATGTAGTAGTTGTGGTTGGAGGGCTGCATGTCACCAAGGAGAGAAGAGAAACCTGCCGAGTCGAAGAAAGAGGAGGGAGCTTTAAGAGCTGCCTGGATCAGACCTCTGCTTAAATTATCCATCTCTAATTTCACACTGCTCATTCTGCTATTTATGAAGCTTTTGGAGTGCCCTCTGCAGGCTGCCAACAACTATCACTTGCACAGTTATGCTCTCACTGTGCTCCAGATTCTGTTCAAAACAAAAGCCTCTACAACAAAACCCCAGCAGGATTTAAACTTCTAGTACAGAGTTGGGCACTTAAATTCCTCCCTGGATTTTTCCTATACTTACCAAAGTAACCCATGCTCTTCTGAAATTTCATGCACCTGTTGTTTTCCTAGAAATGACCATTAAGCAAACTTAAACAACAAAACATTTAGAAAACAGATAACTTGATAAATCTGACTTGCTGTTTCCAAAAGCTCCCTTCAGTTCCCGTCTTACAAGCAGCTTGGTCAGGAACCTTCGCAATTTTTCTCACACAGATCATTAGAGGTCACACATTCTATTGCTTTTGTACACAGAGCACACTGCACGCATCAGGGCTCCTTTATTGCTTTCATTCCTCTTGACTCAATGGGAGTGTCATTTCTACCCTCTTGTATTTCAGGCATCCCCTACATGCAAGAGCATCCGGTGTTCTCCATCCTTCCCCACATCAGGAGCTCAGCATTTCTCGTGTCTGCTTCCCCAGTTCATTCTCCCCTTACGTTGTGGAACCTCCGGGAAAAATCACAGTGAAGGGCATTACATGCCACTAACCTGAGCTACCCATGTCTTACTTTGAGTGCCCTTACTTGACCATCCACAAGCAAGCCTCAGTTTTTCACTAGATCCAAAAATCAAGCCTTAGAGCATCCTACTACTGCGATGGGGCAAAAGGATGAATACCGCCATGCTGACTCAAAAGTTGCCCACAAAATTTCCTCAAAAACTGCAAGTTTTCCTAGACTACCTCACAGCTGAAGACTTGGGGAAGAAAAAAAAAAAAACAACCACAGACCGCTGCCAAGCTTTTACAAACAGAGGTACACACTGAATCAAGGTTCTTATCTACATTTTTGTAGCTCGCTCATTCTACAACACCTCACACAATGGGCTCCTACTAGGAATCTCAAGTGCCAGCATGATGAAAGCAGTAAAAGTAATAAATTTTTATTTCACTGAAGCTACAAGTTCAGGAGGCTCTTCCTACAGCAGCAAACTTTGCCTGCACTGTATGATGGTTGACTGCACAGGGGAAAGGCTCATCTAATAATATATTCCTTTCTACACCAGACTAATATTTAGAAGAGTGTTTAAAGGCAGGAACAACAACTGAAGATTTTTCTGACGTGTTTTCCATGGACGTCTTATCTCATCCCTACAGCGATTCTGCCCTCTGGTGGCTGCTTCCTCAATCCCAGCAATGCAAGCTATGAATGGAGTTGTAGCCTCTCTTCCGCACTCTCAATCCACAAAGCTCAATTCTCCAAGGCCTTATACAATCCTAGTTTTAACAGATCTGAGCAATGAGGACTTTCCGCTCTCCTTTTGGAGAAACTCCACATGCAACAATCCCCTCCCTCTCATGGTTTCTAGCCTGACAGATTGTGAATACTTCTCTGACATGCTTTTCTTCAGGACTTCATTTCTCTAAGCTTCTGCCATTTTAGTATTTGCTTTTGTATCAACACAAGGTATTTTTAAATCATTATCCTCTTTATTCTGAGAGAACTAGGGGGAGCAATAGATAAAGGACATGCAGATTTCTTATCTGCTCCTGGCAGAACTAATTACAGCATGCCAAAGAAGGAAAGTCTGTTTGCACAGGCTCCTAAACGAGGAAAGATCTGAGAGATACCAAGGATAGATCAGTGGACAAGACTGTGTGGGCAGATACCTGCCCACCCCACATGACGCATATAGTTACTCACCGTGCTGAGAGGAAGATGATTTCTCCAGCATGGATTTGTAGAGATTTCGGAAGGACCAGCTAAGATCCTGGAAGTTGATCTCAGAGTAGGAGAACTTGAAATCATGGTTGGCACTGTACAGTGGGGGTGGCACATCGGCCCCTTCACGGCCCTGCCCCCCTGCTACAGTAGAGGCAACATCCACAGGCCCTGCACCCTGCTAAGGAAGGTAGAAGTAAGGCCTTTAGCTTGTACTAGTTGAGACAGGGATCCAGAGACTAGAAACAGGTAGAACATGCACTGATATTCCGTATCACTTAGTTCATCTCCCAACAAATCTTCCCAAATGCCATTTTCTTTGAGGAAAATCAACCACCACTGTCCCTCTGCAGCACACTGGCTCCAGCCTTTTCTTCAGCTATCTAATACCATTATGCCTTTATCCTATCCCCATCCAGCCCTTTGTTGAAGTTCACTTCCTCCTTATTTTCTGTCTCTGCAATTTCAGCTTCTTCCCTTCTTTTTATTTTTGCCTCTGTATCACCATTTTCACAATTCCCTCTCTTCTCATCACTTCGCTTTTCCATTCACGCACTCCTTCCCCTCTCCTTTTCCCCCCACCGTAAGGCTTCTATCCTTTTCCCTGCTGCTCACCTGACTGTAGTTGGCAATGGGGGTAGTGCTCTGGAGAGACAGCTGAGGGGTGGCCTCAGGTGGCAAAGAGGCTTCTGTGCTGACTGGAACAGCCCCTCGGGGGCTTTTACTTGCCTCTTGCTCTGGGGAGTCTTGTGGTATCTGTGGATGGGGAAGAAAGAGAAAAGGAAAGGAGCAGAAATCAAAAACAGATGGAGAAGCGAAACTGCAGATGGGAAGCCAGCTCCCCCGCTGTAGAAGATCATGGCTTAGAAAAGAGGAGGACTGGGCCTTAGTCACTGAAGAGTCAGGATAAAGGACTTCAAACAAGATTAACTTTGCTACTGAACAGCAGCAACAACAGCCAATCAGCAGGACGTACATTGCTAGTTCATTCAGTCCTAGCCTTTGTCTCCCCATCTGTACACCCTGCCCCCAAAACGATACCATGGTGTGGTGCTGGAAGGACTCCTTGGAACAAGAAGGGAATTCCCCCTCCCGCTCCATGCTGTCTGGAAAGAACGCCACTCACGTCATCATCTGGAGGATGCCGCCTCTTGCGAGATATATCTGGACACGTATCTATTGTCCAATAAGAGCCCTGGAAAGAAGACCCATTGGTGAATGCGTGATTAAATCAGAGAGCGTCCTGAAGCAGGGGACTACTGACTCAAAGAATGCAGCACTAACTAAACATTAGGACCACAAGGACCACCCTCCAGAACATCAGACAGCCGAAACTTGGGTGTTGGAAAGAGATTCCTCTCTTGCATTGGGTTTTATTGAACAATGAGGTACGATGCTACTGGTGGAAGGCAGAATGCTCTACATTTCCATCACTCCAAGACAGGACACCAAGAAGAGCAAAGGATGTTTTGATCCAAGCTAGGCCAACTATTTTGGGCCTGCACACCCCCTTCAGTACCTTCCTCACAGCATGAATTTGTTATTGACTGATGGGAACCAACTCAATGTTCAGACTGGGCAGAGACAGCTAGAAGGATCGCTCTTTTTCCACGCTTGTGAGACTCCACTATGAGTACCGTGCCCATTTGGGGGGTTCCCAGTGGAAGACAGACACTGATGTGCTAGAATGCATCCAAAGAGGGGCCACCATGATGGTTAAGAACTACAACACATGATGTACAAGCAGTTCACACAGAGAGATCTGTTCAGCCTGGACAAGAGATGGCTAAGGAGATCTAACCGCTGTCTTCAACTGCGTAAGGAGATTATAAAGAAGACAGAATCAAACTCTTCTCAAAAATGCACAGCACAAGAGTAAGAGGCAACAAACACAAGTTACTGCAAGGGAAATTACAATCAGATATAAAGAAAAACTTCTTCACAATGATGGTGGTGCAGCACTGGAACAAGTATCTCCATCCTTGGACATACTCAAAACTCAACAAAGACCTGTGTGTGTTGACCTCCAGAGGTCCCTTTCAACATAAAATAGTCTATAGTTATGTCTATTGTTTTCTGAATAAGTATAAAGAGAACTCTGGAGTGTGACTTAGCCCATTTTAACCTCCAATTCAAATCTGAATAATCATTGACAAGCACAGGACAGGTTTTCATTATAAACCCAGCCCAACATGCCAGTGAACACCTGCAAACATATACACTGAAGTCAGTTAGGATTTCCTGGAATAAGCCATATAATCAATGGTATTTTTGAGCAGTGATCTTCAAAGATATACTACTTCCATTTATAGATGCCAACTGAGCACCACTTAGTCCTTTAAATATAACCTGAAATAAAAGGCCTGAGCAAGTGGCCCTTTCTGGTAACTTTAGGATGGGGGGGAGGAGACAATCTTTCTGTCTAAATACACAACTTCTTGTCTCCACCATCTCCTTCTGCTTGTTTGTTTGGGTTTTTTTGACAGTAATAATATGTGCATGCCAAGATGCCAAGTCTTGGTTTTGCTAGCAATTCCCCTTTACAATCTATATATACTAACAGAGTTTTATTAGCCCTTACTTTAGCCAACAAATTCGTAAATTCTTGAGTTTTACTTGTAAATGATTTCTATAGATTTGAACTATCTGATGGTGATATTTTTTTCCCCAACATCAAATGTTTTGCAGTCTAAATAGACAGTAGTTCTGCTCCCACTTCATGGCTCTTGCCTCCATGAAACCCATGATGTCACATCATAGTCCTGCCGTTCACCAGCAGCCACTACGGTCTTTCATAATAGAACAGGTTGGACTAGACCCACGTTTTACACATAAAGATCAAGAAGAAAAAGAAACAAAACTAATAAAGTACATTCAACCCATTTTTTCTTTCTTCCGGTATCTTTGAAGTCCAACCCAAACTATTCTATGATTCTATGATAAGTCAACAGAAGATCACAGATAAGAAGAATAATCGCTAAAACCATTAAGGCCCCTTTACAGGTTCCCTTTAAGTGAATGCTTCTGTAGCCAAAGCACTGCAGTAAATCTTACTACTGCTTCCATTTTTGCCTACACTTTAGGTTTCAAATTCCAACCATGAGTTAGAAAGGGCAACCCTGGCTTATTCCCTGCAGTTTTAAATTGCTTGCCCAGGAGCATGCAGATTTCTTACCTTCCCAGGATCATCTCTCGGTCGAGGCACCTTCCGAAAACATTTATTCAGGGAGAGGTTATGACGAATAGAGTTCTGATGAGAGAGTAAGAGATACAGGTTAAGTGCTACAACAAAAACATACAGCCTTCTGAGTATGCCCAGGAACGGGTAGAGAAAATAGAAGGATGGTGCATACTCAAAAGCGAAAGCTCACTACATATACCCGGAACAGAGCAGAACAGAAGCTGTGGAAAGGAGAGGGACAGATTAGGATGAATAATATGGGGCTGAACCACCTATACATCTACAGAAGGTGCAATGAAAATAGTATCAGTGTGATGCAGAGGTTGGTAGTGATGTAGGTTGGGGGCGGGGAGGGGTGTTTGTTTTTCTTGGTTGTTGTTGGGGGGGGTTTGCAGGCTCCTTCTTAAGGGGCCACCACATACATACAACAAAATTCTTAGAGAAAAGTGGGACTTCCAGCTCTGCATTTTCTCCAGTTCATCAACTTAGTTTCACATCTTCTTATTTTGCTCAGTGAGGATATTTTGCACATAATTAAGAAAGCAAGTCTTGCAATTAGACAAAAAGGGTACTTTAGCGATGCAACTCCTCACCTTCCAACCAATACCAGCATTTTTGTAGTAGGGAAAGTTGTCACAGATCCAACGGTAGATCTCACTAAGTGTCATCTTCTTGGCAGGTGATGAGTTGATGGCATATGTGATCAAAGTGGCATAGCTGTAACGTGGCTTCCCATCTTGGTGCACTGCAGCTTCATCCTTACTCAGGGTGGCATTGGGATCTGTCGGTGAGCCTGGGGGACACTTTCGGGCAGCCCCTGGAGGTCCTGCTTGTGAGGAACCCCCTAATTTTTCAATAGTAGCCCTTAAAGTAAGCTGTGGGAGCCAGTCTATGGAAGTGAGGCTGCTTTCCAGGTCAGAGGCCATGATGCTGGAAGCAGGAGTATCTGTGAGGAGAAAGCAGCAGAAAGGGAACTCCTGAGATACAAACAAGTTGAACCCTAAGAACAGAAACATCCATTTGCATTCCTCCTCTGCTTCTCCCCCTATCACAAATACCTGTGTGAAGATCACCCTACTTCATAGACCTTACTCACAGCCAGACAGAATCATCCAAAAAGGCCTATGACTGTGTGTCTGGGAGGACCATCCTTGCCGATAGTAGCTGGGACAGTGCTGATGGTAACATTGCTAGGACGGTCTTACCCAGAGCATCCCAACTGTTCCCAGATGAAGAACTAAGATCTATTCAAAGGAAGTGGAGCCTTTTCAGCAGCTGTATCACATTCACTCCTTTACTACGTAAAAAATATAACCTTGGAACCCTTCACCAAGATCACCTGTAATCCAGTAGGTTTACTGCATCAGGTAAGAGGAAAATCATAGCTAAAAGGGAATAGTCCTTCATGCCATATACAAACCACAATTTAATTAGATCATCTGGAAAAGTCAGGACTGTGACTATCTTAATTTGGGGGGAAGAATCACTTCTCCCTAAGGCCTAGCTTCTCTTTTTGCATCAGGTGACATTATAATGAATCTATTCCTTAGAGCTAGGATTACATATCTCATTTTAAAACACCAAGATCATGCATAATACTATATATAGATAATTACATCTACCATGTCAAGGTGGAACAGACTATATTAAGCTCGTAATAGTTAAAGCTTTGCCTACCATAACCCATTTTTCCTAAACATACATATAATTTTATTGAATTAAATCTTGCTTAATTCTCAGTATAACAGGCAAGTATTTTCCCCAAATCTGAGACACAAGGAAAACTTACTTGTCCAAAGTCACACAACAAGTTTGCCACAGGGTGAAAACAGACTCAGGATCTTTCCGCTCATAAATATTATATATTTCCCCTCATAAAAATAAAACACACCTGTCCAACATGGCTAGTGCTTGTACCCAGGGTTTTCTACTTAACAATTATTTTATATGAAGAAAATATTTAGCAGCATGAACTTGTACACTTAGCACACAAACTTGTATGCTGTCTTTTGTAGTAGTCAAAGCAGCAGAAAGATCATCATTCTTACTCATAATTGGCTGCATCACTATACTAGGAGCAATCCCTTGAAGTCTGGACTGAGGTAGCTAAGTTTCCATGGCCACAACCTGCACTGCTCTGCACTTATTCTTTGCATAAAGAGAAGAATCATGTCTTGAAGGGCTGCAAGTTCTGTGTCTTTCATTTTTGAAATTAATCTTTTTAGAGGATTAGATGATACTATCTTTGAGCATGCTAGTGCATACAAAAGGTAAATGCACAAACACACATGCACATACTTATGTACACACTCATGTAACAAATTAAACACATGAGTACATGTAAGAGAGAACAGACCGACATGAACGCACTTTGCCTACGAAAGATTCATCAGTGGACACCTCCCACCAAGTGCATCATTCAGATGAGTGGATCAGATGAGACAGGGAGACACCCATCTGCATGAATACCAATTAGATACTCCTTCTAAAAATAGGTATTTGACAATAACACAGTGTGGATGCACAGATCCAGAGACAGATGCACCCAGCATTTTGACACAGAAGCTCCCTGTTCTTCCCCCACAACCATATGCATTATACCTTGCACTTCTGCACTGAGGTGCTCTCACAGCACAAAAGCACGTAAGAGTCTACACTCTAACACATTTGTATGCACTAAACCTTCCATTTTCACGCATGTGCCCATCACACCTCTTAGGGCTCAAACACTTACACAATACCCCAACAAAATCCATCCCTCAACCACCATAAGCTGTGGCTCCAAGGCCCTGGGGCTCAGAAAACACCTCCTAATTGCACAGCTAACATTATCACTCACGCTCATACGCACACAGACTGAGAAGTCAAATTGCAGCACTACAGTATCTGTAGCGAGTGGAAACATTTTTCTGTCTGTGGAGGAAAGGAAAAGCCCAACTGCTACTAACTTATCCATCTACTCATCTGCCACACTATCACATATGATAGTGATGACTACTTGCTACACAGCTAACTAGACAATCAGAGCTGCAAAAGGCTTTCCATCATCCACCCTCCTCAAGTCATTGTTTATCGAATATAGCTCTTTCTGGCTGAATTGATCTAATCTCAAACATTTTAAATTAAAAAAAAAAAAAAAAAAGCAGCACTATTCCTTCCTGAATTATACAAAGGTAAAGCAACAATGTATTTTTATCCAGTGGGGATGGACAGACCGCTGAGGTATCCACGTAACTGAAACACAGCTACATCTGCATGGTAACTTTACAGGTACAGCCCTCACTAAAAGTAGTATTCAGCCTGGGAGAAAACAAACATGAACTAAATATCAGTTGAATCCTTAATTTTGTAAGTGTGCCTCATATAAATTTAATTTCCACAGTGCAATCAGAGAACAAATTACTGCTGCTTATCATATGCATGTTAAACCATTATGAAATATCAGTTGTGCTAACAATACAAATCCAAAGTAAAATAAATACAAATTTCCCAGCCCCCCCTTTTTCTTTTTTAAAGACAAGCACAGAAACCAAGAAAAGTAGGTTATAAAAGCCTATGCAGATTAAGATACCAATCTGAAACACAAGAAATTCAAGAAGCAGAAGAAAACACTGCAGTTTTCATAGAGCTTCAGATTCACCCAGGTTGTGTCAGTAGAGCATTTGGGATGATTAGCTATGCAGTAAAATGTAAGGTTGATATGCAACATGCCAATCGTCAAATACACAATTTTGCGTATTTGTGTAAAATACACTTGTCAGGGAGACAAGCAAGGTTAGAATTGGGTCACGTTACACCCACGCTAAGAATCTGAATATTTTCATTCCCTGGTTTATAAAAATCTTTGACAAGAAAACAAAATCCCAAAATCTTAAATAAAAAAAATAAATCTGTGTATACATATGCACTAATCACCCAGTAATGAAACAACTGCTTTTCAGTAAAAATACAGCAGGTTTTTAAGAACACATATGCTAGACAGTAATTTAGGACAGAAAGTGAAGACTCAGACCCAATAACAATCACATGGGAAATTTCAAAGCAGTGGAATAAGATTTTTTCTCCAAGTTTAAACTTGATCATGTTACTGGGTTTGTAAGTCTGTATCCTGGCAATATGGGATCTGTAATAATCAGGCATAGTCAAAACTCAGGTAAGGTGGCAATTCCAGAACACTGTCGGTGCAAAAATAATTTGGTGTAATTGGCTACTGAATTATTTGAAAGAATACTTACTATAACAGTAATACTTGCTATAATTTGTGCTGCATCTCTCATTCACCTGATCCAAGCAGTACACCAGCTTGACACTACTTAATGGTATGATAAAACAAGACTGCAGCCAGACCAGAGCAGCTGACGATTCTTCCAACTTTCCCCTCCCAGTTTATTGCCTGGCAAATCTTCTTTCAAGCTCTTCTCTTATGATCCCACTCAAACAAAGAAAAAAAAATACTAATGACTAACAAACACATTGAACTGAAATCAAGGGCGTTTTAAAAAAATCCTACCACATTAGCAAGCCAGAATTAACTTTGAAGAAGTAAAAAGAAAGTCGAAGACCAGAATTCATAATCTCCAACTTTACATGGTAAATGGCATCTGTTTATGTATTTGGCTGACTTTAAAAACCAAGGGTAAGGTAGCCAAGTCATAACCACCATCAACAGCTGGAAATTGACTGCAGAGTCTTCATTTCTCAAGTACTAACTAGTTCCAGTACAACCCCAAGTCAAGACAGGTCAGAGAGATGCAAAAATGACAGCCAAGCCCTGATCCAAAACTACAATTAAGCAGATGAGAATCTGTCTAATTCATAAGGAAAATGTAATAATCATTAAAGAAAATCCCAGCACTGAATACCTTTTAAAAACCGCTAATTCACTTGGGACTAGTAATACTTCACTATAGCTTTCCAGGAAAGCTACTGCCTTACTTTGAATATTTGCAACTAGCAAATCGAACCTCAGGCTGAAAATGCAAGGCAGCCTTCTGTCTATCAGATTGTACTATCCCTGCCACTGGACTGAAGAAATCTGTACTTTGCCTGCCCTGCTATTTTGCAAATACTTGCTCTAAGCCAGTCAGATCTTATCCAAGATCACTGCCACTTATATATCAGGACTGAAAAATGTATGAAATGTGGGGAACAGCACTCTAAGGGTCATATTGAATGCAGTTAATAAACATTTATAGCCTGAAACATTATCTAAGGCTGAACTCAAAGGCTGGCCAGTCAGAATCAGTTACGACTGAAGCAGTCATACAATGAATGAAACTACACTGTGCACAGCCTACAGAAGATGCATATTCTAGAATAAATCTCTACATTTACTTTTCTATATTTACTTTCACTGTTGCTTTATTTGCTGCTATTCCAATCTAATGGAACACTACTGGCAAAACATTCAAAGGAGACTCAACTTAGGTTTCTCGACATAAACTTTGAGAAGGAAGAAATGCACAACAGACTACCAAGCAGTGAGAGACATTGCTGTAGAACACGTATAAAAATAAGGCCACTTCTATTTAGGTGCCTGAAACACAGATCCAGTGATCTAACGAAGCATATCCATCTAATATACTCAGAGATACACCTAGCTTCTGAGGTATTTAACAAACAAAAACCCTCAAACCCAACAAACTGGCAAAAAAGAACCGTTTGACTGCAACCCTTCTGAAACACAAAGGTGAGTGGGATATCAATTAGAGCAAACTGCCTCAAAAAGTAAGGAAGAAAAGTAACACACAAGAATACCACATGCATGGAGAAACGGACAGCTTTTACTTTGATGGAAAAAGGCAATTTTTACATACTTGTGTAAATTACACATGCAAGAAACCTGTATTCTTATGCCAATACAGAAAGGGGAAAAGAATCAATTTTGCTAACTCTGGCAGGAAGAAGAATTTGCCATTTTAAGACGTCTGCTTTCCCTCAAAAATA